CTAGTTTAATGCACATTACAAGCTGAAATCTGACAGTCCTATCAGAGGCTGGATGACTGGTTACAAAAGCTAAAAAATAAAAATGCACACAATGCACCCTTCATGCCTGCAAGCCACTTTGTTCACTGATTGATTACCATTGATTCCTGGCACAAGCAGCTCTATCTAATTCTGTTACGAGCACCATGACCAGCACTTTCATACTTATACTTCTCTGAAGTCAATTCATAAGGGAAAATGTTGGAAAAAAAAAAAAAAAAGCTGAAATTATATAAGGGCTAAAATCCCACTTTTGAGACTGAAATGTTCTGCCTTGTAAGCCCTCCCAGCTGTAGTTGAAGTACCACCCTGGTAGAAGAAATGACAGCACAGGTGGCGTAACATCTCCTTACCTTTCACCATTCATATCCCAGCAAAAGATGTTAGTGCAACACAAAGCAGTGACCATCAGGGCTGGTCTGAGTAACATGCGAAACTCTCTGAAGCCATCTGCTTTAGTGCATGTGACTGGGAGCCCTTTGGGTATTCACTCCTGTGGTTTGAATATTTTGGCCTACAATTCTTTATCAACTCAACCTTCAAAAGCAATGGTCATTTAATAAACGATGTCCAAACCAGGTGAACTTACAGATGGCTCAACTGTTTTGAAAACTAAGTGATTCTAATTTCTAAATATGGTTATACAATCAAACATAATCTAGTAGTCATAGCTCTGCAAGGAAATGCAGTAGACTGAAGTCCTGCTTCTGGTTCTACCACTGGCCCACTGGCAAACTCTGTGTGAGTCTTTTCGCTCTACACAAAACTGGAACAATAAAAGAATTGCCTCAAAATCTGAGCAACATTATAAGTAGATGATTAATAGAGATATCTGGCTGCAGGCTTTTGGCTTTGAAAATCTTGATCCAGTTTCTCATCCTGGAAAGGAAGAGAGAATTATTCAATTTAAGAACTGTCAACTATTTATAGCTTTAGCTATTAAAAAAAAGAGGTATTTTCAGAAATAGCAACCCAGCAACCTGTTGCTTCCTCAACCATCTCCCATAGAAACAACTCCCAGGGTATCTGCACAGTGTTCCAAGGCTGCTGGAGTGCACATTATTCCATGTCTGCTTGCCAGTAAATTGCAGGACCACTTTCAGACACACAACAGAGAGTAAAAAGGAAAAAAAATTCCCAGGGATTTCACTTCAGTAGAGTTTCTATCACTGTTCTGTTATTCTTTTCTTTCCAAACAGAAGGATGATGCCCATGTGCAAGTGATTTACTTACATTTCTCTGTTATCAAGGCCAGGCAACATGAAGACAAGGGCAATTCACATATCGGAAGGGTAACTCACTTTGTCACAGGCACAGACTTGGAAATGAAAGCTACCACTTTATCTATTTGCTATTGAAGATAAAAACTTCTTGACAAGTTTTTCCAATTGTTCCTCCCCAAATCTAGCTCACAGACATCACTAACCAAAATGAACGTACTTGAATACTTGCATTACTTTATGCAATCTATTTGTCCCTACTACACTCATACCACCTCTGCAAGCACCTTCTCTTGAGCTGGGAGCAGGCCACCAATTAAATGAGCAGAAAAGCTGCACGGCTTCAATGGGACAGCAGAACTGCAACTTCATAGAGTTTAGGGCAGACTGAATACTAGGCTCAGCAGTACTGCTGAGTCCTGCAGAGCTCTGCAAACGCAGACTACTGCATCCAGCTCTGGGTCCCCCAATATAAGAAGCACACACCTGTTAGAGTGTGTCCAGAGGAGGGCCATGAAGATGATCAGAGGGCTGGAGCACCTCTCCTATGAAGACAGGCCAAGATAGCTGGCATTGTTCAGCCTGCACAAGAGAAAGCTCCCAGGAGAACTTATAGCAGCTTTCCAGTGCCTGAAGGGGGCCTACAAGAATGCTGGAGAGGGGCTTTTTATAAGGGCATGTAGGAATTGGTCGAGAAGGAATGGGCACAACTTTAAACTGAGAGAGGGTAGATTTAGATTAGATATTAGGAAGAAAATCTTCACTCTGAAGGTGGTGAGACTACTAAATGAGTACTCAATGAACAGAAACACATGGAAACCTGCAATTAAGGCCTTAACTTTCAATGTTTTGCTGCAGCTGAGGTAGGACACCAGGAATAAAATTCTTTCAGCTTGATTAAAAGCTTCATGGCATTTCCCAAAGCAGATGCTGACAACTCTCATTAAGCTGGTCAAGCTCCATGGAGGCTTGTGGGAGACATTCAGTGTGTGGTGTTTTTATCCAAATCTTTATTCTCAAGCCTGAGTGCAATTAAATCACAATGAAAGGATCCCACTCAATCATATAGATAAGCAAAACCTCTGGAGTTCACTCAGTACCTCCAACAGCATGGCATTCTTCCAAAGTCCTCTCTTCAGACAAAGACATGACTTCAGACATGACTCCTTATTAGTAATATTAAAACAGTGCTGAGAAGCCCTCACAGATGCTGCAGTCACACAATCTAAACTGGACACTTGAGGAGATAATCTGGGTGAAATATTTGCACCTTGAAGAGTTAAAGGAAAAGCAATTTCACAAATGTGCTAGAGATTCATTTCTCTCTAGCCCTTGGTCTTTAAACTGCTCAGTTCGTGCCTCCCAAGTCTTGTCACTGACTTCACCCGGAAGGCCCATCCTTAAACAGTAAGACATTGCTTTCTTCTGACAACTAACTTACTGCCTCAGTGTCAGGAGAAAGCCAGTCAGAGCTCTGCATAAGATTGTGTGTGTATATATGTCAGTATAGTCATTGGTAGAGAATACAGCTCACCATGAAGACATTTTTTCTGAAAACTAAGTCTCCCTCCAAAAAAAGTAAGTCCAAAGGGAGGTAAAGAGATTTACTCTCTTTTTGACCAACCAGTCAAGCATAAGAAGGTTACACATACACTTATAAAAATATCTGTCAGTCTCTAACAATGAAATAATTAAGAACAATGATGGCATCTTATCTGGATAGACACAAATGAAAAGGTTTGGGGATGAAAGACTAACACTGCCTTGCCTGAAAACTTTTGTAGATGCAACTGAGTGAAAAACTGAGAGTTTCCTCAAGAATCAGAAAGTGGCCTGAGGTATGCTCCCAGAGACATGGTGTGACTAAGTTTTCTTTCATTAGAGGAGGCTCGTGAACAGACTTTTTCTAATAGATGTGACCTGAAAGGTATGCTACATGCAAACAAGGAAATCTTTTCAGAAGATCATTTCAGCAGGATGGGGTAAAAACTTTATTAATATAAGCTAGGTATAAATAGATTAAGCATTTTTGCCTTATGTTTTTTTGTCTGTATCTCGCAAAAGTGTTGCTAAATGAGTTGCCGATTTTAACTGTTACAAATAAAAGTTCTGAGCGCATTTCCTCTTAACATGTCTTGGCCTGTGCACGATTTAGACTAGCTAACCTTTTGTTACCAAGGCTGTGGCAAGTCACAGACCAGATCACTAGCCTGACAGAACAAGCACCCAGTTAACTTGACGCTGTTCAGGCCATGCAAGGAGAAATATAGCAAGCCATGAGCTTGCTACATTGACTAGGTAGAAAGCTGACAGCACAAACATAAGGAGATACAAATACCTTCCAGTAACCATTGGGAAGCAAGAAGGATGGAATCCAGCAAGATACTGCTTCAACTCCAAAGATCCCAAAGAATACACCACGGCATCCATATCACTTTTCCTCCTTACCCATTCAGGTTTTCTGGCAAAGTAACGTCTGTAGAAATGTCAGCACACCACAGTGTGACCCTCATAAGATTCTTTTTGAATAGCAGGACTGACTGCCTCACAAAAGTAGAGATTAGAAGGGAAGGAATGCAGCCCAATACATCCTCTAGCAGTGATGCTGGATCAGAGATGGCATGTATCTAATTTTTCGAGGAAAAGGTTCAGAGAACATGCTATATAAAGATTGCCTTAGTTTATTATACTTCTTAATTTTAAGGTTTTTAAGGCACATTCAACTTGAGATAACTTCAGCAGTAGGGAATAAGGTGGGGTTTTTTGACAGTAGAAAACAGGTTGCAGGCATAAGCTGTATTTGCACTGAGACAGGGTATAGATTTATAATACAAAAAAATCATGTCTGCCTTAAAACACACCTCGCCTTGTAAGAGATGCCACAAAGATTCAGATGAATTGATTTAAATAATGATAAAATTATAAAAAGCACATGCAAAAATCTTGAATTATAAAAACTGTAACCTTGCTGCAGAAAAGGGTAAGAGAAAAATTAACCTCCCTTGAATGGCAAGCTCTTAAATTGACTGAAAATAAATATGAACAAGAAGCAGTATTTTCTAATTACCCAGGCCCTAGTCATAACTCACCAGCAGTGGTATCCCATACAAATTCCATTTTCAATGCAGTTGCATTGGCCAATGTTGCAGTGACACCTTTCAGCTACACTGATACTCATAAATAATGATTCAATCTTCCAAAGCGATATACTTCCCGTAACAGGCAACAGTAAGTGGAGAAGGAAGTAAGCAGTCAGATATGAATAATTATTTGTCCATTTTATTTGGACTGCTGTTAAAAAAGAATACACCAAAAATGCATTTTATATGTTTGAAAACAATGTTGCTCAAGTTAAACATTACCATAAAAGTCATTGTCTTACAAGGAAAGTGATTCACACTGGAAACAATGTGAAACTCAGTTTTATAAAGTTTGCATAAGAATTGCCTAGACAGGGCAAGAAATACACTCACTCCCATACTTAATGTGATAGAGGAGAAAAACAAAGCAATTACAAAAATGAAACATTTAAGATGAAGATATGTAGTAGATATTGTTGAAATAAAAATATAGGATTTTAAGTATCACATAGACAAGGAAGAGCTTTGTGACAAGTATGTACAACCTTTAGCAATAAGATAAACAGATAGCAACAGGATAATCTTAGTAACTATAAAGGAAAGAAATACTGCATTTACTTCATATTCTAATTTCAGAGATAAGGATAGAAAATTGCCTTACCTCAAATACAGCTTGAAGAGAGACATTAACAATATGCCTACATCCTTTCTTAGTTCTCTTGACAGCAGTCTAAGAAGCAAGAAAAAATAGCAAATAACTATCTTTCCTGCAGACAGAATGTGCCCAAGAATAACATGCTTCCTAGTAAAGTGTGCAGAAAAGAAGTTAAAAAAAAAAATTAAAAGTCAAAAAGACAATCCTTGCAAAATAAAAAGGCAAAACCTGAATATTTGAAATTCACTGTAAGATTTATTGCATTTTGAGGGAGTAGAGGCATTCAGGAACTAAATAATATAGATATAACTATGACATCACCTCAATTCTCACTAAAATATTAATTTGGTATATTTGTCTACAAAAGAAAGATTATAAATTCATCTGCACAGGACTCCATCACTGGAGATCTGAAAAAATTCGTATTCCAGTAGTAGCCACACATGGGTTCACACGATACAACCTTGTTAACTTGCTTTTTCCTCCCAAACTACAGTGCTTGCTAAAGCGACACTCAAATGTTAAATGCTTTGGTCAAGAGTTCAATCACTGACCTGCAATGAAAGCCTTGTGTTCAGCTCCAACATTTTCTAACAGCAAACAAGAAAAAAAATGGTTTAACGGAATGAACTGTTAAAAAAGAAAATCCTCACATAAGCTTTCCCCGAGGGGGAAGAAATATCCACAAGCTTTAAATTGGCCAGGCGGATTTAAGAGGAAGCAAAAAAAAAAAAAAAAAAAAAAAAAAAAAAGCAGCTCTTTCTGTTGCGTCAAAGAGCCCACTGTGCAATAGGAACAGTGAACAGAGTTGTTAAACTGGCAAGCTTTTGCTGAAGACAGCTTTTCAATATGCTCTCAGCATCGTCTCCCAGGGCTGGCTGGAGACAGTCCCACTCCTCTTATATGAGCTGTGCTCCTTCAAGAGGCAATCGCTCTTTAAGGACAGTTTCTATAAACATGCCGTTCAACTGGTTTGGCTGCACATGATGAGGGTAGTTGAGCACATATACGCACCTGCATTCCAGGATCAGACCCACGTGCTCTTGGGGAAAATGCAGGCACGTTTAAAGAAGCGATCATTACCTCGGCTTAAGAGCAGGATGCTATTGATGACTGACTGCTTGCTAAAACTCAGTTCCCTGCTTAGACCGTTCAGTATGCTGTTGGAAAGCAATTTTGAAATGCACAGTACTTACAGAGGAAACCTCTAATGCAATTCCACTGAGACATTGTAGTCCAAGCAGCACTCACTGATTAAAGGAAATCAGTAATCACATGCTGCTGACTAGCTTTGTGTTTAGTGCAGAGAGCTTGGATAGCCACCAGAGACTGCAGCTACATGGGATGAGTCAACTGTCCCTCCTGGGAATGATGGCTCCATGACTGAAGATCTTTAGGGGCTGAACCAGCTACTGTGAATGGAGTAAGGACACTGAGCAACTTGGTTAAACATTCATAAAGCCACATTAATCACCTCATATAGGAAATTACCACACAGATCTCTGCAGGTGAGGACACCACCCTGCGTCCCCCTGCATCCCCTTTACAAGCCATGCAGACCCAAGCAAAGGCATTCAGAGCACAGTTCAACCTACTCCAACCTGTGTTTGGTCCCCTGAATTGTCTTCTGGGCTTCACCGCCTACAGACGGACCTACGATGGCTTCCACAAAAGGAGGTTGCAGATAGCAACATTTTTTGAGCTGAGTGCCACTCCAAGTGACAAGGCGATGAATGCCTGTGACTTGTGCACAGAAAGAACTTGCAAGGGAGAATGGGATTTGTAAGAGACAGCAATAAAAAAGGGAAAACACAAACCGTGGAATGCACTTTACAACGTGACTGTGGAATTAAAAGTGGGGACAAGCATATGCAGCCGGTTAATTTAGAATTTCTTTTCTATTAATATGTATTTCAGAGTTGCCACGAGGACATTATGAGCTTGAATATGTGGGAAGGCAGCAGAACGAAAGGAAGTATATCCAGGAGTTAAATTCTCCCTATTCATGCTCTTTCTCTACTTAGCAAACTTCTATATGGAAAAATTACTTCTTTAACAACTTCTCTTGAAATCCTTCCAGGTGAAAATGAATTTCTCTCCTAAAAAGTGCTTTCATAAACGGCAGAGTAAGCTTCTGCAAGAAGTGAAAGACAGCATTTTCTAAGCTTTTAACCTGTAAACTTAATGCACGGCCCTATTTGTGCACCAAGCAGTATGCTGCTCGATTAAGCTCTCACAACACCCACCACACAACTCAATGTGTCCAAAGCCCCAGCTGTAGTGTCACTGGAGCCATATGATTGTAGCTTTGGCCATCTTAGAGTACAGTGATTAATAATTCTGCCTGTGCTGTGTGGAAGATAATTACAATATGGTTCAGTTTCCCTGACCTAAAAGCTAGGCAAGTACTTTAACACGCCATAATAATAATACCTGCTCATAAGACTACCTAAACATTTTCCCCTATAAATGCTGACTCCCCAACACTCATCACCATCAAACTGCTGGCTGAAGGAAACTGGTAACATTTGCCCTTTTCTTGAAATGGATTTCTGGTTTATCTTAGTATCATAAAACAACAGTTATTTCCACTTTGAGCAGGTGGTTGGACCAGATGATCTCCTGATGTCCCTTTCAACCTAAACTATTTTGATTCTGTAAATATGAGGTCAATTATCAAAAGTTACCTCAGGCTATTAGAAATTATATCCACAGAAATTAAGTGGATAGTGGCCAACTCCAGCGTTTTGAAGCCAGAATTTGGATTCAACTGTCAAGACTATACACAACTCCAGAGCGAAAGATCTCCATTCCACCATTTCATGAGAAGCTACCAGATCTGGTGAAACATAAGCATTTGCATCGACATTGCCACCTACGAGGTCATTAATAGTTACCACTCTGTGGAGAGGGCTGTGTTGTTTCACACATCCCCTGATGTTCCACCCTTGGATCCCCAGTCTCCTTTTGTTTTTCCCTTCCTATCTGTCACCCAGTCATCCAATCTCATTCTACTGTCTTTCAGGTGCAAGGGACAAAGAAGACACTTGGTCTCAACCTCAAATTCTCAGTGACTGACAGCCCAGACGACTTATTTCAGTCGTAGAAATAGCTCTGCACAAAGCAAAGAGCACAGAATTGGTTAAAAAAAAACCCACAAAACAACAAACCCTTCAGCATGATCACTGGTTTTTGTGTAGACCCCACCACACTGCAAGCTCAACACAGTTTCTCCTCTCAAAGGCCTCCCTCCTAAGATATTAAGAACATTGATTCTGTTCAGTATTATGCAACGCCTTAGAAAAGAGAGTAGTGTCCTTGCCCCCCATGCCAGCCAGCAACTCCTGGTGTCCAGGCCTAAGGAATGGCTATCGATTCAAGCCCATACCATGCAGTACAGCAGTTGTCCAAACCTTTGCACCTCCACATTACAGATGGCTTTTTTCCATACCACAAACCCAACCTACCTGCCCATAGGGTTTGTTGTTAATTCACTAGTTCCGTGTAAGTGACAACATCCTATGGGGCCAAGTCAGGAAAGCCAACACAGAATGGATGGTATCTGCTGGGATTATACTGATCCAGAAACCTAAAAGATGGTGAATGACATTTAAAACCCTCCACTGCTGCTAAGTGCCAAACTAACACCTTCTGGGCGTTCTCTTGGCTCACAGAGCCCCTCAGCAGTGGTGTGGAAGCACTTTGGAGCGCTACCACCAAGGTCTGCAGCTCAGCCTTAGCGCACCTCGTGCGTCTCTGTCCCTGTGCTGCGTCAGCCACACCATCTGCATCCACCATCCATGTTATCGCTGTTACTCACAGGCCTTCCTCAAGAAACAGGACAAACTTCCCAGGGAAAATTCAACGTTCACAGGGTCGGATGACTCAACTGCCTTGAGGTCAGTGCTGCCTATTTCCTGCTACAGAAGGCTACAAAGCCTCTTCCTGAGAAACAAGGCTTATGTAGGCATTTCAGCTGAGTCCTCTATTCCTGCAGGAAGGAGGCCGTGTGCACTTCCAGTTGTCTGGCTAAAACGTTGGGACCTTCAGCATACCTTGCACTGTGGAAATCAAAACAGCGCGATCTGGGCAAGAATTCAAGAAAGCCACTTTAAGTGGAGAAGAAGCTTCAGACCCTGACAGAACTAGCACAGCCCCACCACCACCTACAGGCTTGGCCCCTGGAATGGGAGATGAGCATGCAGCGCCATTGGCATATCAGTGGTTGAAGTTTAGTGTGGCAACAGCTCCAAACAGAGCTTGGCTTAGCTAAAAACTATAGTTTATTTTCCAGGCGCCTTCAAATACTACCCCTATGTCAGCTAATAGGGACACAGTGCCCATATTCTCAAAAATCACAGAACAACAGTGCTCCCCTTCCTCCCACTCACAAGTGAAACATCAGTGGTGTTTCCTGCTTGCTCACTGACATCACTTGCCCCAGTCCCCTGCAATTCTGATCCTGCTGCCTGTCTTGTATCTGTGAGAGGATCACAGAGCAAACAGTTCCTAAGTCCAGGGGTTGGGTATCCTTAATGTCAGTCCTCTGTTATGTCTAACATCTTCCAAGCCTGAACAGTCCTCAGGTGGTTCCTATCTTTGTTTATGCCCTCTTCAGACTTCTTCCCTTGTGTCAAGTTACACTGTTTGTATGATGCAAAACTGGACTCTCAGCTCCTCCTTTCCTGAAGGGGCTCAGTGGACCGGCAAACACATGGAGCTGAAGAAATAAATACAGAAGCAGGGATTCAAAATCTCTGCAAGAAGCAGCAGAGTACCTGGTTTGAAAAAAAATAGATTATTCACAGTTTCAAGAGAAATAATAATAAAAAAAAAAAATCCCAAGTGTCCAGCTAACACAGTCACACATATAAGGAAAAAATATTAAAAAAAAAAAAAAAAAAAAAAAAAAAAAAAAAAAAAAAAAAAAAAAAAAAAAAAAAAAAAAAAAAAAAAAAAAAAAAAAAAAGGAAAAAAAAAAAAAGAAAAAAAAGGTGTTCCTAATTCACTGGAGGTATTCCCCTTTGCCTACATCTTGCTTTCAGGACACCTTGTGAAACTGGTTCAAAAACTGTCATCCCTCTGCCTAGCTGGTGTCTTAGGGATGATTCTGCACCAGCAATTTTTCAGGGGACTCCTCGAGCATCCATTCATTTTCAAAAGTAACTTTTGGTAACGCCCTGCCATCCATTTCACTCTTGCAGCATCCTAATCCTGGTCTCATACGCAGCATATGGGGAATCCCAAACAGCCCTTCAATCCTTGCTAGGCAGTTTCTGGAGACAGAATGCACAACTTTGTTACAATATTCAGTCCCACAATGTAAAACTCTTAATTTTATTATTTTTTTTTTAAATCAAATTTGTCTACGTGCATCTGCACAAGCACATAGGGAAGAGCTTGAAACAGACCTACACACACCAGCCAGTGATTAGCACTGCTGCACTTGCAAGGAATTGCAGGGCTGTGAAGCCATTTTTTAAGGACCTGTGTCATCCTACAGCAGTCTATAGATTTGATAGCAAGGGCAGGAAAGGAAGAGGAGGTGCCTGTTTTATGAGGGACAGCTGACTTTCTGCTGTGGCTTTGCCACCTCTCTGAATGGAAATGCAATTACGTACTTTGTGCTCCTTCAAAGTGCAACTCCAAAGTGTATGGTGAGGGCCCTGAGAAA